TGTGTGGAGCCAGTTTATATTCTGTGTGGAGCTAAAAGAAAATAAATGTTTGGATAAAAACTACTCCATTCGTCGACTGATGTCTTCAAGCTGCAACATGTAGATAAGGTGAGCTGGAGTAAGGCTGTGGTATAAGTGCAGTACTTTCAGGTCAAGTACTTCACAACACAAAAACATGTACAATAGGTTGCCTTCAGGCCCAGGCCGCCCTTGAAAAAGAGATCTGAGATCTCAATGGGATTTGCCTGGTAAAATAACGGTAAAATAAAAATAAATAAATAAATAAAAAAACTTCAGCTGATGTGTACAAGTACTGAAGTTGTGCTGTGAGCAGTATGAACCACCAGGAGGAGACAAAGTCTGGTAAAATTATCCTCAGAGCAGGAAACAGTCACTTTACAACCAAATATTTCAGTTCTGCAGCTACAACCAGTCAGGGTTTTCTTCATCATCTTCATCCTCACAGGTCCTGCAGCAAAACAAGATGATAAATATAAACAAACAAATGCAAAATTGATACTTTTGTAGTTTTAGTACTCATTTTTTAAAGCAGTTAGTACTTTTAAAAGCTAGCAGTAGTTTAGCAACAAATGTGTTAGTTTTTAAGTTTGTAAAACATGTTTAATTTATACCAAAAATCATCTTTATTGGTTATAATTTAAACCATTAAACTGTAAATTTACATTTTTAGTAGTTTTGGTACACTCAACTGTTTTTGAAAGTTAGTATCTCGCAGGTACTGCAGCAAAAACAAGATAAAAACAAATAAAATAAATAAAAACAGAGTTGTTTGGTTCTTACACAGATTCATGGAGTCTCTGCTCGTTCATCATCTGCTCTCTGAAGATGTTGATGGATTTGTAGACGTCCATCTTCTCCTGACGTTCCTCCAGAACCTTTTTGTACCTGTACACAGTTTACTGAGTTTTACTGCTTCCTGTTTGTTACAGGAAGTCTCAGGAGGAACAACATGAAGGTTTTTAACTGTGGCTGAAATGTAAACAAACTCAGCTCCTCTGGATCTGAAGAAGCTCAGGTGGTTCTGATCAGGACGCCTCCTGGACTTTTCATAATTCAGGTTCTCTCATGGTTTCAGTATTTGTGTGCGTTTTGTGTATTTGTGTAGTACAACCGGTACCTGTGCAGCCAGAGAAGCATGGCGTTCTCGTTTCTCCACTTCTGCTTGAGATGTTGAACCTCTGACATCTGTGGGCGGAGCTCAGAACGCAGCATCTGAGTCAGGAAGTCCTGCAGGCAGACCCGAGCCGACAAAGCCACCAGCCAGTAGACCGGATCCTCCAGAACCACCGAGTGGAAAGACTGGAGGGAGAACTGGAGCCACTGTGGAGCGGGAGCAGAACCAAGGTTCTGGAGGGAGGGAAACCCAAGAGACATCATGATTTTAACAAAAATATGATTTAAATACTGATGATAACTTATTTAATTACAAAAAAACCAAGTTTATGTTTTACCTGATTGTTTCGGCTGTACTCTGTAACCGTGTCCACCAGCAGGGATTGGATCTCATCAGCTTCATGCAGACCCTTCACCAGAACCTGAAACAAAACAAACAGGAGGTTTTACATCAACTGGAAGTCATTTGTTTCAGTTCATCCATCCAGACAAACATTCACTCTCTCTCTCTCACCTACAGACAATTTTAGAGTTACCGATCTGCCTAAAAGTCATGTTTTTGTTGAGTGGGAGGAAACCAGAGTTCCCAGTAAAAATCATGAAGAGAACATGTAAACTGTCCCAGGAAATGTCCCGACTGGAATTTGACTGAGCAACTTTCTTGCTAAGAGGCCACAGCTCTGAGTCACCAACAGTAACAGCTTAAAAATATGACGTACATGTGAAGTTTACAGTATTTAAATCATAAAAATCAAGACAGTGCTACAAAGTGAAGAATTAAAAAAAGACTAAAGACATGATAAATGAAATTAAATTAAATAAGAATAAAATAAAATGACAGGTCCAAAAGTTAAAACGTTACATATATCTGTTTGTTTACTCGCCAACTCAGCTCTGTGACTACCTTCTTTTGTGCTCAGAGGCGTAACAGTGTTGAGTTGACTTTAAGCCCCTCCCACCAGGAAAAACGGGCTCAGTTTGAAAGTGTTGCGTGAAAAACACCAATAAATTTATAAAAACAAAACGAGACAAAAACACATTTAACATAAAAAAGATTAAAATGTGTTGATCTAGAAAGAAACAGAAGAGGAGGTGACCTCTGACCTGCAGCGTGCTGCTGACTCGGTGCAGGTACAGCGCCTCCTGCTGGCTGAACCTGGACTGACAGAGACCCGTCTTAGAACCAGATCGGAACGCTCTGAGGAGCGAGGACGAGCGGAGAATCTCCTCCGCCAGGATCGAGCTGGAATCCCACAGAACGTCGAACAAACTCACGCCGGGGACGATTCCTGAGAGACGAAGAGGACGAGTTACTGAAGTCCAACGAGACAAAACCCCCAAACAGGAGCTGAGCCACAACAGAACCAGTTCTTCATGTTGAAGAAAGTTCTACAGGCTGCAGGACCGGGACCAGGGCCCTCATGTATAAAAGGTGCTTATGCATAAAAAAGTTACGTGCGCCAGGTTCTACGCCCACGTTGGGATGTATTAAAACCAACGTTGCGTGAAAGTGTGTGCGTATATTTACGCACACTTTTCACCTGCTGTGAGAATGTGCGGCAGCCACACAAAGTTTTTCAGTCGACAGTTTTAACTCACAAAGTCACAAATCTGACCTGAATCCACAGAAATATGACTCTGATCTGTTGTCTGGATATAAGGAGCAACTGAACACGGTGTTAAGAGCTCGACACACAGGAGGCGACGTCGCTCGCTCTCCATTCATTTCCTATGGAGCCTGTGCGGTGAGGCGACAATCTCTTGCCCTCCTCCAGCTAAGCGACCGGCGAAAATAGTGCATGTGAAATTTCACGCTCGTACACGTAGTCGTGTACACGCGAGCTTGCGACGCGACATATGAAAGTTGAAAATGTTCAACTTTTGTCGCTGTCGCTTAGCGTACAACCAATCAGCGAGGGTTTCATTGACTGACCAATGAGAGGAGAGTATGCTACACACTGCCGTTAGCTAACACTTTCACCAAGTGATTACTAAAAAGCTTTGTGGGAATTTATTGGCACCAGGGTGAAGTTTATGGTAAGTTTTTCCTCATAAAACTGTATCTTGATGTGTGTTTGTTTTTCAATATCATTAGCATCGCAAGATTTCTTTAGTTTACACGTTCGTAATGCACAACCGCCTTCAGAGTCAAGAACCAATCAAATTTCGTGAAGACAAGCGACCTGAGAGCGCGATTCGCAACGCTGCGATCGCTATCGCGTCCCGTGTGTCGGGTTTCACCCTGGCTGCGATGACAGCCGTTAATCGCTGTAGTTTGTCGCTGCCCGTGTGTCGAGCCCTTTAATCKCTGTAGTTTGTCRCTSCCYGTGTGTCGAGCCCTTTAATCGCTGTAGTTTGTCGCTGCCCGTGTGTCGAGCCCTTTAGATTTTTATTTTAGTTTGAATTTTTTATTGTTTAAACTGAACGATGATGAAACTGAACTGAAACATCACATTCAGGAGATGTCTGTAAATTTCAGGAAAATCTCAGACTTTGTTTATCCCGTGTGAATGCAACACATAAAACAATGACACCCCACTCCTTATTTAGACAGTTTTCTCACTCATTCTCCATTTAATGTATAATTTTCCTGCAGCTAAAAATCATTTCTGATCGCACAGAGAGGAATCTGAGGAGAATCTCACACCTGGACACATTTACATCTATTTTACAGATTTAAATGGAGGCGTGTCAGGGGGAGGAGTCTCAGTTCTACGTTCGTTGGGATGTATAAAGGAAAGATGCGCAGGAACATGTGTACGCAGTTTTATACATCTGAATATTTTGTTGCGGTGCACTTTTCTAAATTTGTCCGTACGTCAACTTTTAGTGTGAAAGCTGCGCGATCCTTTATGCATGAGGCCCCTGGAGTTTTGTGTGGAAAATTGCGTACACAAGCCCCGGATCAGTTTTATGAGGCCATAACATGTAAAATCCTCCAAACTGGAACCAGTACAAACCAGATCAGTCTCACCTGGACCAGGTGGTTCCCGGCTGCTGGGTTCAGAGGAGTCCAAACTGAAAACAGAGGACAGGACCAATGGACATGAAGTTCTGTCTTCAGATGTGAACCAGTTCTCTGCAGAACTGGACTGTAAGAAACCACCTTGTTCTGGATCACATCAAAGAACATTCTGGACCTTACCGGGCAGACCTGGAGCAGACGTAGAACCGGAGTTCTTCACAGGGGGCCGACCTCAGTTCTCCACCTGAAAATAAACATCAGTGTTTTTATTTTTTACACAACTTTGGTTCTGTTTTAACGTCTGTGAGGAAAAAAATATTATTTACACGAACAAAACAGAGTTCATTTGATTAAACCTGTTTATAATAAAAACTTTATTATTGGACAGAAGTTTGTGTCTAAACTGTGGAGGCCTTAAATCTAAAAAATGAAAAGAATAATTTGATGTTGAGTGGTTGCTCTCTAAAGATGATTCAAAGTAACTAAACATTTGGCTTTTGCTATTTTTTGATGTTTGTTTCTTTACTTTTTGATATAATTTCTGTGCAAGCCCCGCCTCCTCTGGACTCTGCTTCCTTCTGATTGGTCCAGTCGCAGGACGAGGACTCATCGCACCAAATCCAGGATCCATTCTGCCAGAGCAAAAAACAAAACAAAACAAAAGGTTTATTAAACAAAACAAAACAAAAAGGTTTAATAAACAAAACAAAAGTTTAATAAACAAAACAAAACAAAGTTTTAATAAACAAAACAAAACAAAAGGTTTATTAAACAAAACAAAAGTTTAATAAACAAAACAAAACAAAGTTTTAATAAACAAAACAAAACAAAAGGTTTATTAAACAAAACAAAAGTTTAATAAACAAAACAAAACAAAGTTTTAATAAACAAAACAAAACAAAAGGTTTATTAAACAAAACAAAAGTTTAATAAACAAAACAAAACAAAGTTTTA